TCAATTAAGCATGGAAATATAAAGCCCTTATATTGGCAATAAAATTTTTACAAAATGTTCTCCATATGTAGATTTATATATTCTCTATGTGTATATAACCTTATAGAAATTCCATTAATAAAAATGCAAAGCAAATACACCACTATCATAACAAAAGTATATTATATTAAAGCACGATATCTACAGAAAACATCTCAATTCACAACATTATGTTCACAAAACAAATGGTTTTTTGTATTTACGACAAGAAAAAAATTAATATAAATTTTGTAAATGCAGTAAAAACATAACATTAAACTAGTTATGAACGACAAAAATAACTACAATAACAACAACAATGATTACAACAACAACACGGGTCCGGCGCCCACCCGACTGGCCATCGCATGGCTTGACCTGACATTTCGGGGCCAATCAGTGCTGCCATGGCGTGAGTCCAGAGCCATTCTAAACGGGGTAAACGGGTCGGTAAACTTTGGGTCGTTAACCGCCTTAATGGGACCGTCGGGCGCCGGCAAATCGACCCTGTTAAAGTGCGTCAATGGCCGCAACCAACAGGGGTTAGACACCGGGCGAACCCAACTGTATGTGAGCTCTGAGCAGAAAATGCGGTCGTGTTTTATAGTACAGGACGTGTCAGAGCACCTGTTGGGCGGACTGACAGCCATACAGTCCCTGGTCTACGCCTCTAAGCTAAAGAATAGCCCCTATAATGTGTCCGTCGATCATAAGGCCAGTGCCCGTCGGTTACTGAAGGAGCTGTCGATCGCCGACACCGAGAATACAAGTGTCAGCAACTGTTCCGGCGGTGAACAGAAACGACTGGCCATCGCTATGGAGCTAATGCTGTATAAAAAGCCTAACCTCTTGTGTATCGATGAGCCCACAAGTGGTTTGGATAGTAATGCCGCTGAGATTGTAAGTATTTCCTGTTTTGCCATGATCATATTTTTGTGGCCACTATATTGCATTATGATGATTTTATGTTTAAGTAGTTTTTAGTTATTTGTGATTATTCACAAATATTTTTAATTTATAAAATAATTTTTAGTTTCACAAGTTTTAACTTTGTATTTTATTTTATATAATAATTTACTGGCAGATAAAATTAATGTTTCACGAGTAAAAAATTTATTGAGATGTAAAGTTGTAGATAATCACAACATTTAATTTACTAGATATAAAAGTGGAATTAAGATTTAAAACGTATTTTAAACTAAGAAAGCCAAAAATGCGAGTTTAATAGACTGACTAGATGTCCAGGAATGGCCTGAATTGTCCCTGAATTCAATTACCTGTCCAGAATATTAAAAATATTTTAAACATTAAGTCAATGGAAGCGTCCAGGACAAATTAGCTAAAATTATAAAAATGTCCAGGAATCCAGGAATATAAGGCTGATTTATGCCTAAAATCCAGGATTGTTATAAACTCATCTGGTCAGTCTAGAGGTTAAACAAAAAACACCACATTCACTATAAACTGTAATAAACAGTAATAAACAGTTTAAATACTAGAAACTGATGTTTGAAATACACTTTACTGGACACTAAATGAGCGTTTCATATATCGTATATTTTTAATATATTTTTATATGTTCATATATTTATTTTAAAAATCACCCAGGTGATACGAGTGCTAAAATCGGTGGCCCGTAAGCACCAGATGGCAATCGTCACGTCCATACACCAGCCCAACAACGATGTGCTGATGCTGTTCGACACGGTATACGTGTTGGCAAAGGGCGGCCACTGTGTCTACGAGGGGACGCCGCTTGACATCGGGCCGGCACTGACCGCCGCCCAGATCGAGTGCACCGAACACCAGGTGCCCATCGAAGTGATGCTCAGAGTGGCCTCAAAACCCGATGAAAACGTGCGGCGATTGGCTGTGGAAGCGGCCAAAAATCGGTCACTTATTAGGAATAGGTGTCAAACGGAGGGTCGACTCGTGGGCCCCGGGGGTAAAGTGGACAACAAGAGTAATAAGTTTTCGTGGGCCCAGACGTGGTACCTGTTCCGCCGCACTCTCACGTTTCAGATTAGGTCCCAGTGGAAAGCCACGCTGGCCCAGTTTGCGTTTTTCATGGTGCTAGGAACTATGTTGACTTATTTGTATAATGATGATATTGCCGAACCCGATAGCTGTTTCTCATTGGCTGATAAGCAGGTGAACGTCACCTGTGGTAAAACAGTAAGACAGCTCCGGGAGGAGAACCTGTTGTCCCAGAATTTCCGCTTTGTTTGGATGTCTGCCTATATGTTGGAGGCGTTGCTATCGATGGCCACTATATTGTTGTTCGCCTCAGAGATCCGGGTGTTTATGAATGAACGCAAAAATGGTATTATATATTTGTTTGTTGTTTAATTGCAATCGTGGTTGTTTTAAAGGTTTTGTTTTAGCTAGTGATTGTTGTAGTTTGTTTTTTAATAGTTGTTGATGTGCATGGTAGTTTAAAATTATTGTACAGTACTACTATGGTATGTACTTTTTAAACTAAAAGTTTAGATTGATAGTGATTATAAAGTTCATAGTGTGCTAATCCAATAATTTTAAATACATTTTTAGTTATAAACACGATTGTATTAAAAGTAACAATTTACAGTTTATTTAGATGTGAGAATTTATCTAGTTACTTTAATTAATGCATGGTAGTTCAAAATTACATGAAGTGGTGTACACGGTCCATAAATAAATTTATATTTTTTTAAATTATATACACTCTTGGTAGTAATTATAATAATTTACAGTTTAATTGCTTAAAGTACTGCTGAAAGTGTTTGTTTATTTATGTTAGCAAATACTATATTTATTGATGCATTCAACTTTAAAATTATTTTAGTTGCATTCATAGCAAGTATATATTAAGCAAAATTATATAATATAATATTTATACATTAGAAACCCAAAATTAAAAAATAAATTTTGTAATTATAACATGCTTGATACAAACATTAACAATTTACAGTTTAGTGTTTTAGAATTTGTTATTTTTTTATAATAAAAAAAACACTATTAAGGCATGAATAATATTTTATTATATTTTATAATTATCAAAAGTGTATTTAACGCAAAATCTACATGTAGATGTAGATTAATAGGAATTATAAAATAAGTGACTTGGTACTAACAATAATAAGTTTAGATTGATAGTAATTATAAACTAGATTGATAGTTAACTTGAATCATAGTGTGATAATCCAATAATTTTAAATACAGTTTGTAGTTATAAATACTGTTAGTATCAAAAGTAACAATTTACAGCTTATTTAAATGTGAGAATTTATCTAGTTACGGTAATTAACGCATGGTAACTTGTAACATAGTTCAAAAATATTTTATATGTTGACTATAGTCCATAAACAAATTTATATTTTTTAATTATATACACTCTTGGTAGTAATTATAATAACTTATAGTTTTATTGCTTAAAGTAATGTTTGTTTATTTATGTTATTACAATACTATAATTATTGATGCACACAATTTTTAAATTATTTTAGTTGCATTTATAGCAAGTATGTATTAATCAAAATTATAAAATATACTAGTAATGCTTTGGAAACCAAAATAAAAAAATAAATTTTGTAATTATAAACATGATTGATACCAACATTAATAATTTACAGTTTAGTGTTTTAGTATTTGTTGTTTTCTATAGATAAAACACTATTAAGGCATGAATAATATTTTATGATATTTTTTAATTATCAAAGGTGTATTTAGGGCAGAATCTAGATTAATATTAATTATAAAATAAGTGACTTGGTACTAACAATAATTAATAATTTAAAGTTGTTAACGGCAAAAGTTTATATACTTGATAAAAATCATAATTTACAATAAAATTAAGCTAATGAGTTATTGTAAGAATGTCAGAATAAGAAATCATATTGCAGAACCAGAGCCATAATTAAACATTTATATTTAGTTAAAAACACTCTTGGCATTAACAATAATTATTTACAGGCTATTTGTTCATAAGAATATAATGTGATTTGATAACGAGAAATATGAATTGTTTCACACATTATAGGATCTAGTTTATAAATATTTATAAAGTTTATAAATATAGTTTACAAATATTTTAATAATTAATAAAATGAAATAAATAATTAACAAATTGCACGCTGCTACTTTAACAGGGTGGTACAGCACCGGGTCGTACTTCATGTCCAAAAACATATCTGAATTGCCAGTATTGGTGGCGACGAGTGTATGCTTTTATTACATCACATTCAAGACCACACATCAGTACGAGTCGGACGGGCGCGACGTCGGGTGTTTCATAGCGATGCTCGCCGGCGCCATCGCGGGCCAGGGGTTGGGCTTTTTCATGGGCATAGCGTTTAACGCCAGTTTCAAAACGGCCGTGGTGGCCGACCTGGGTGTGATCATACTGAATCTATTGTTTTGCGGTTTTTTTGCGCCCCTACAGGAGCTGCCCCGTGCCGTGCGTCAACTGTCGCACCTGTCGTTTATTAAGCAAGTGTTTGAGATACACCTGTATCTGTTGTACGGGTTTGACCGCTGTCCCGAGGGTCAGGTGCCGGCCATACTATATCAGCATAATTTGTTGGATAAGCAAAAGTTTTGGCTCAATTGGCCGGCGCTCGTGGCTAATGGTCTGGCCCTCCGGGGGCTGGCGTTCTGGGCGTTGTATGCGAAGACTAATAGTGTGAGTCTGCAGTCGATGTTGAAGTGGCCTAAGAGTAGTGGCGCTGGCCGTCGACCCCGTGTGGACTCTATGGATGAAAGTGGTTATTGAGAGAGAGAGAGAGAGAGAGAGAGAGAGAGATTTAAGGATACAAACATTATAAATTTATTTTTGTTAATGTTATTTTAAATGTTTAATTAAAGATTACTAGTTTAATACAATTATTATGGTAGTTATTAGTTGTAATTTAAAATTTATCTAAATTGCTGTAAATAATCTTATATTAAAGTACAGTATAAGTGATAATTTTATTTATTAAGAATTACAATTTAAAAATACAGTTATTGTAACTAAAATAAAACAATACTTATTTAAAAGAATGATAAATTAAAATGTTTTAAAACAAACAAATTATAGTCAAATCATTACACATTACATTTAATTAATTTAACATTATTTATAAATAAAAATGAAGTGTAAAAATAATTTATAAACAATTAAAAATAATATTGATTAAAATGGCCTGGTCACAATTTGGCACAGATTAATGTGCGGGTCTTTTAGTACACACCGGCGGACAGTTGACGAGTATATTCGGACCACTGTTTGTGCGCTGGACAGCCATCGGCTCGACACAGACATCAGACACCGCCTGAACCGGGCGTCACATTCGCAGCTACTTCTGTATAATTTTAGATAATTAAGCTAGATTAATTTTAATTTGTTAAATACACAATACAAAGGCATTGCTATATTGTATAAATATTTAATTTATAATAATTTGTCCTGGCTAATTAGCAAATTGAATCTAGCTAAATCTATTATTAGCACATTAAATAAATAGCTGTCGTTTACTAAGCAACATTGATTTAATTAAAGTATTACACCAGGATAATATACTTTAAAAATAAATATAAATTATTATATAATATGCAAATGAGAGACAATAATAAAAATTAAATTAATGTAAATAAAACATACATGGAAAACAAGCCTGGGTTAATCACACCGCACACCACATTGCCCTGTGACACGTTAATATCGCAATGATCATGATCGCGACAGCACGTGTCAGTCTCCCAGTCGACACCTAGGTCGTCGTAAGTCTGGGCCGTATTGCCGGGTCCGCACCATTTTGTATTGGGATATGAGAAATGCACTTTCACGCCGTCCAGTGGTAGGCGCTCCGGTAGGTTCTCGTTGTTGATAAACCGTTCCAATAGTGTCCGTAGTGTTGCCAAACACCCCGATAACCAGGGTATTAATAGTAGTGTTAGTAATATTGGGTTAAGTTTCATGGTTGTTTTGCTATAAAATAATGTTTTTAGATTTTTTTATGATCACAAATTAATGTCTAATTATTGTTATGTTGTTTTGTTATCCGAAATTAATTTCTATACATTTTGTATGTGTTTTTTTTGTTTGATTAATACAATGCTAACACATGTGTGTTAGTAAACGGCTTAATAGATTATGGTATTATTGTTTAGGGTTCCTGCAGGTTCACACCATATGAATTTAATACATTGTAGTGCACTGTATGTTTAACAAACAGGTATTTTAAAGTTAAATAGTTTAATTTTATAAAAGCTCTTGATAAGTTTTAGGTTGAAATGAATTTATTGGTTTATGTTTAACGTTAAGTATTTGTGATTTTTTTTGGTTTGAATTTTATTTATAATATAAATATTTTTACCCTTTTCAAAATGTAATTAAAGTTAACATAAGTTGTATAACATTGCTCTCTGGTCCTTGTTTAAATTAGCATTTTAAATAAACATTACATAATATGTGAAATTAAAAATGTTTATTTTATATACTGTAGTTTAGGATTTATTAATTAAAACTTTATTTATACCTCTAATAGTAACAAACATTTAATCTAATTAAACTATCTATTAAAATAATAATCATAAAATTATATTATATTGTTAACATTTAATTATTTGTTAATTTACATTATATAAAATATCATATATCAAACATAGCGCAAATAAAATGTTATTTAGCACATGAAAACAACATGTCAATTTAAAATTAAAGCTATAGTTATTAACTATTAGTTAATAATTTAAGTTACGTAAAAATAGATATTAAACATGGTTAAAGTGGTACAATTTTGGCAAAACACGCGGGTTGTTTCTGGTAATTATTACCCATGATGTTATTTTCTATCCACCATAAAAACGACGACACCCTCACAAACAACAAATCTGTGGCCGTCTCACACGATGCGCCCTCAAACCCCTGGGCCACACCAATCACCACTGCCTGACCGGCACTAGTGTACTGAACCAATGGCCCACCGGAATCGCCCTGTAATGTATGTGTTAGTGCAAACACCGAGATGTTAATCACAGACAATATGGTGCATTGTCTGTGATATGTCTGAATCTAGCAAAACGTTTGATATAAAGCTTTATATAAGCACTTACGTAACAACCAGTGGGATTTTGGCCATCGTGTCGGGTGAGTATCAAATGGCAATTGTCATTATGAGTGTAGTTCCTGAGTGGCATCCAACCAGTCCTGAGCCGATCTCTCACCAGTGTCTGATCACTAGTGGCCCCGTATCCGGCGATTTGTACGTTAG